ATGACATTTTATTTGCATACCGTTTTACAGATTTATTTCTCCCCATTATTAAAATAACCATCATGTTCACTGTGATATAAAATCCTATTTTTAAAAAGACATTTAAATCTCACAAGTTGAGAAAATTCCAAATAATTTGGATTAAAGGCTTGTTCAGATCATTTGAATAAATGAGGTCCAGTTAAAATAAATACAATCTACTCTCACTAAAGGATTACATATTTTATGTCCTTACAAATAAGAAGCAATATGTCAAAATACACTAACAAAATACTCCCAGATAGGTAGCATAGAGAATTTATGGGGGATGATGTTTCATAATGCTCTTTTAAAGCTGTGCTCTTTCTGCAGAGTCACTTTGCATATTAAACATGTAAGGATAATCCTTCCAAAGGAATTAAGTTTTTTTTTCCATTTTTATACTAAAACACCATAAAGCTTTCACTTTCCCATTTTTTGATAGCAGCATCAGTGAAATAAATATTTCACTTTCTTCTTAACTTTGCAAGAAGTACAAAAACATTTCTCAGCATTTTCGTCTGAGACACATGAGAGAGGTGAGACAGTGGCAAACTGGGGAATAAATGCCCCATCTACAAAGGACCATGCTCTAACCAATTGTTGCTATGCAACAAGACAGAGCCAGTGTTGACAGAATGTCTGATTCCATGGGAAGCCACAAATCCACACTTTATGCAAATTTTTCTAATTTTAAACATGAGTGACTAATTCAAAAATTTGTGACCACTGTGGGTCAAATTAAGCCTTCAGCTTGCTGGTTTGCAATCTCTGGAATATATCATGCTCTAGGCTCTGAGATTTTGAGTCAGAAAATCTGGTTACTAATCTTGCTTTTGCAACTTACTAAATAATAAAAACTTGGACAAGCAGTCTCGTTTCACTGATCTAAAAAGTTGTCATAATAATTTCTTCATCAGATTGTTTATTTTTCTTAATCTTTTGGATGAAAATTTTCAAACACAAATAAAAGCTTGAAGAGTTTTACTATGAATGCCCATATACTCTCCACCTAGATTCCACCATTAACATGTTACTACACTTGCTCTGCAGGACACCTATCCATCTATCCAGTGATCAGCTCATCTTACTTTTGGATGGGCTTCAAAGTAGTTACAGCCAGCAGCATACCTCCTCCACTGGAATATTCTCAGGAATAAATAGAGTGATGCACAGAAAGCATTGAGCACAATATCTAGCACATAGATACACATTAGAGTCATAATAGCTCCCTTCCCTACATCTCTTTATTACATGTAGCTTGAATGTCACTGGACCCACTAAGAGTATGTTTTATATGAGTAACTTGGGAAGAGGAAGATTTCTACAACTTTTTCATCAAAATCCTGTTGGCCTCTATCTTCAAATTATCTCCAGAACCTGGACTTCTGTTTCCAGCCAAAATAGAGTATCCACATTCCTCTCTAATCCTCCCTCTTATTTAAAAAACAAAAACAAAAAAGAAAACACTTTAAACATAATAAAGAAAGCAAACATAGAAAGACTCTAAATATTGTGAAGAAGAAGGCTCAGAAAGGAGTGACACTGCAATGAGTTCCCTGGATTTTCTTTGTTTCCCATATATTCTGAATGGGGCACTGGAGATGCCTACACCTTGGGACCACCAACACAGACAAGAAAAAGCCTCAAGAAAAGCCTATCCCTGCCCATAACCAAAGAACTGGGTAAGGGGTGGGCTAACAGAAGTGGGACTCTTTTGATAATACTGCGCCTACGCTAGTCTAACATCAAAGGTACACCTCACCCTCGAGGTGCCAGTGGATTGTGCAATAGCTCGACTTCTGGCCCCACCAGGAACAGCCGAGAGATGTGATTATGAGATGGCCCTCCACTTCCTCCACTGGGCTGATGTTAGCGGGCCAAACAGGGACTTCTACCCCCAACAGGCAGCAAAAAAGTAAACCAGGTGGTGTGAGGGTGTTTCTGGATGAAGTTAACGTCTGAGTCAGTATACTGAGTAAAGTCGATTGCCCTCTCTAATATGGACGGTCCCATCCAACCCACTGAGGGCCTGAATAGAATGACAACAACAAAAAACATAAGAAAAATTCTCTCTCTTTCTGACTGACTTTGAGCTGAGGCATTGGTCTTTTCCTGACTCCAGATTCAGACCTGAAAGTTACACCATCAGCTCTCCTAGGTCTCCAACTTGCCGACTGTAGATCCCGACACTTCTTAGAAACCATGAATGCATGAGCCAATTCTTCATAATGAAATGCCTTTATGTCTCCTACTGGTTCTGTTTCTCTGGAAAACCCTGACTAATGCAGTCCTACTAACCACAAGAAACTGAATTCTGCCAACAACCTGAATGAATGTGGAAGCATATTTTCCCCCAGACCTGCCCAATAAAGCTTGGTCTGGCTGACATGGATTTTAGCCCACCCAGATTTCTGATCTACAGAAATGTGAGATAATCGGTGTTGTTTTAAGCTATTAAGTTTGTGGTAATTGTTACTCATCAATAGAAAACTAATACATTGACTTCATCTGCTACCAATCTCATTCCTTCATCCACACAGTTCAGGCTCACTGGCCTCCTACCTCTTTCTTGACAACACTGGGCACCCTCCCTCATTAGGGCCTCCGCATGGGCTGTTCTGCTGGCTGGAATGCTCTCCCTGTAGATATCCATATGACTCGTTTCCTCAAACCTTTTCAGCCTTTCCTTGAATACCGCTTTCTCAATGAACCCTATCCAGGCCCCTCCCTGCCACAACCTGTCCATGTTACACTGCTCTGCTTTTTCTTTTTTTCCAAAATATTTATTGCCTTCTAACATACAATATAGCAAACAGATGTATTGTACCTATTGCTAATTAGTGGTCTACCACCATGAGAAGGTAAGCCTACAAGGGCAAGGATATTTGTTTTGCTTACAAACTTTCTGAGCGCCTGGAACATTTCCTAGCATAGTAGCTGCTTACAAAGTATTTGTAGAATAAAATAAATGAACTCTGTCAAGTTACCTTGTAATGCATCATATTGTAACATAATAAGCTGTGATGTGCATGTTACACCCTTCCTCATAATAATGCAAAATATAGATAGAATGCATCTCTGTGTGAGGAAATGTGATAACAAATTAACAGGCTCTTTCTGTAGTCATTAGTATAAAAATATTATATTGGATGGGCCTTTGCCATTCTAACATTACTAAGAGCAGGAAAATAGAAGAGGAACATTTTTTTTTAAGATTTTTATTGGGGAATTGGGGGAATGGGAACAGCGCTGGGGAACTGGGGGAAGGGGAACAGACAAGTTGCTATCGTTTTCTTCAGTCTAGTTGTGGAGGACGTTGCTTCACTGGCCCAAGTTGGCACCGTCATTGCACTCTTCCCGGGCGAGGCAGATCAGTCGCCGGCTTCTGGACGGCCACTCACTGTGGCTGCGGGCCACTCACCTGGCTGCTGGCTACACACGGTAGCCCATGGCAACCCACTGCCACAGGGGCTGCAGCCTGCGACTCATGGCAGCGCAGCTCCAGGTTGAGCTGTTGTTCAGCATCTTAGCTGTGGAGGGCAGTGTCACTGGCCCTCATATGTGGGATCCGAACCTGGGCCCTCTGGCGCCCCAAGCCAGTTCTTAACCATCGCGCTACTCGGCCGGTCCAGAAGAGGAACTTTAATGATTGGAACTGAGATGTTTGGGAAATGAAGGCTGGGTGATACAGAAGGCACATTTGTCAAACCTAAGGCTTTCAGAAAACATTTCTTAAAGCTACTGATATAGAGGGGCTGCCGTTTTGGAGTCATATCGGGTGGCTCAGTTGGTTGAAGCGCAGTGCTCATGGCACCAAGGTTTCCAGTTCGATCCCCACATGGGCCACTGGGTTGTGCCTTCCACAGCTGGATCGAAGCAGCTGCTTGACTTGGAGCTCATGGGTTCTGGAAAACTACACTGTTCCCCAATAAAAAATTTTTTTTTAAAAAGCTACTGATATAGAAAATTGAACTGGATGCCCTCTAAGATCTCTTAAAATCCCATATTCCATAATTTTCTGGCATCTCCACAAACTCAGTTGACTATTGGCTCAAGATTTGATCTCTCGTCTTTTTACTGATGACCCTCAAATCTGCACTTGCCATCCTAAGAACCCAAATCCCTGTCCTTTGTCTCCAACTGCTTCCAAATATGTCTACGTGGATGTTCCACTGTTATCTAAAAGTGAGCGTGTCAAAATCATACTTATCATCATCCCCTGGATTCCTCTCCTTCTCCTCTTTTTTGAGTTCCTTAGATGTTTTTGGTCCCTCCTCCTCCAATGCCTGAGTCCTCTGAACCCACTGTTTCTTTCTTAAAATTTCCTCTCTCATGTTGTCTTTTTATTATCACTGCTGTCACGCTGTCACTTCCTCAAACCAGGATTTCTTGGTCAGCATCCTACCCGATTTTCCAGGCTCCCATTATATCTGTGCTTTTGTCTCCATCAATCCTATATAGGACAATGGCTTAATCTTTCTAAAATGGGTTTAAACATTCTTAGGGCCTCAAAGTCTTCCAATGAGTCCATACCACCTACTAAGCAAATTTTAATTAACAGTCAAGCAAACTTTCAGGCTGGCATGTAAGACCTTTCATGGTCTGCCCTCTTCAATCTAGTTTCTTATCCCCCAAATTCGTTCCCTCTTTTCGGAAACATCCATCCTATTGAGTACTATCATGGTGCTCAATGCAAGAAGAGATGTTTTAAACAAAGGAAAAGTGGAAGTGAGGTTAGTTTAAGAAAGTGTTTTGGAATTAAGGACTGACTTTGCATGGTATTTTGGCATTTGTTACAGTGAGGAACTCAGCATCTTCCCTGACAGTGGCATCTTTCTTAATGTGCAAACGTATCTTACTATGGGGAGTGATTTTCATAGGTAGAAAATTGTTGGTATTGTATAACCCAATGAAAATTAAAGCAATCTAAATCTTGAGTGGGTCACCCTGTAAACTGTGTTCTCTGCTTGTTTCTGCAGGGAGCCCCGCAAGGTGGTCCTACACAAAGGCTCCACTGGCCTGGGCTTCAACATCGTGGGCGGGGAAGACGGAGAAGGGATTTTTGTATCCTTCATTCTGGCTGGTGGACCAGCGGACCTGAGCGGGGAGCTCCAGAGAGGAGACCAGATACTATCCGTGAGTATCTCTCCTTAATCTCCACTCCCTCCATGTCTGACACCATCAGGAAAAATATCACTTTCTGATATGACTCCAAAAGCACCTTAATTACAAAGGGAAAATGATGAGAGCTTTATGGCTTTGGGTGTGTGTTGCATTTTAAATGGTGTTCGGGTGCATGATGTTTGTTACTTCCTCAGATACAGGTAAAGATTCTAGTGTTTTCATTTAGATTTTCTAAGACATATTTATATCCAATAAAACATGGAGAAGCATGCCTCTTTAAGGTACATTACTTATTTTTTTAATGCAAATTAGTTTCCAAATCCATGATTCTATTTTAAAAACTGCACCTTTATAATATGTAGTTTGTTGCATACAGCTATGTCAGGAAACTCATAACATAACGCTATACATATTAGGTGATGTTGACAAGTGGTAGCAGCATTGCCGTTTACCTAAATGCAAGAATTGCCAGCAACCAGTTATTAAGCACTTATTATTTACTTAGAATTTTATAAAAGTGGTTTTTAATTCTCACAATCACTCTAAAAGGCATTGCCCCATGTTCAGATGAAGAGAATAAGGTTCAGAGAGGCTTAATAATTTGTCCAAGTTTATCTAATAGAGAGAGTCAGAGCTGGGATTTAAATATGCAGTTTAATGTCCATCACATCTTCCCTCCTTCTTTCCTCTCCTCCCTCCTCTATTTCTTCTCTCCCTCCTTCTCTTCCTCCCTTTGTGTGTGTGTGTGTGTGTGTGTGTGTGTGTGTGTGTGTGTGTATATTTAGCTGAGCCATCCTGCCACCTGTTGGCAGCTCAGCGGCAGCTCAGCTTGAGCCAGGAATTGAACCAGTAACCGTGTTGCTCAGAGCTCGCACTCTAGAGTGAGCTCTTAACCAACTGAGCCATTCGGCCGGCCCTTCCTTTTATCTTTCCTTTTTTTCCTCCTTTTTTCCCCAGCTTCTTTTTTTTATTCAAATATTTATTGACTGCTTCTTTCCTCTACACCAAGCTAAAGTGATTATAGCCTGGGATATTGACTGCAAAATTCTATCTAGAAAATACTTACATCATCATGATCATCATCACCCTGGCTCAAAATCTGTAGACTGGGGGTCCACTCTGTCATTTTATCACAGTCAACATTCACATTGTCTTAGCATTTTCCCAGATACAAAGCACTTTCACATGCATTAATTTGGGAGATCTTACAAGTGTCAGGATAGGTTATTATTGCTCTCACTTCCCACATCAGTAAAAGGGGATTCAGAAAGGCTTACTGATTTGTCCAAAGCTTCACAGTTACTGAATATGGTATTGGACTCAAAATCAGGTCTGTGGAGCCCAAATGAGTGTTCTTTCTCCTCTCTTTGAAACCTGTCAGTAGTCTCATTCAGCACCTTCTCGGTGCACACTGCTCCATGTGCACATCACACTCAGAAGCGCACAGCACCAGGAAGAGTTAATATGTACAGGGTACTTTTGAGTCAGTCACTATTATAACTAATTTAATCTTATGACAACCCTATGCCTTATTATACTCATTTTAAGGATGAAGCAACTAAGGCACAGAGATGACATTAGACTCTTTAGCTCTATTTAAATGAGAAGTCAATTAATCCATAGTTTTTTGTTTTGTTTTGTTTTGTTTAATTTTATTGGGGAATTGGGGAAGGGGAACAGCCAAGTTGTTGTCCTTCAGTCTTAGTTGTGGAGGGCGCAGCTAGCTCAGCTCCAACTCCAGACACCATCCAGCCGCCCGTCAGCAGCTTGCAGCCACTCAGCTCAAGGTGCCAATGGGCATAGCCCACCATCCTCTGCAGCAGTCGAACCAGCAACCTTGTTGTTAGGCGCCCATGCTCTACCCAGCTGAGCCATCCTGTCACCTGTTGGCAGCTCAGCATTAGCTCAGCTTGGGCGCAGCTCACTGACCCATGTGGGAATCAAACCACCGACCCTGTTGCTCAGAGCTTGCACTCTTACCCAACTGAGCCACTCGGCCAGCCCAAGCCATAGGTTTTATTTATTTTAACCTCTATGCATGCAGTAGAAAAAGGGATGAGTTAATAATCTTCTCATCTAACCTCACAAGTATTTCTACTTTCAAAAGTAGATATATTTGTTTAAATATTACTGCCAGGACCACGTAGCAAATAAGGCAGCCAATTGGAATTATAGCCTTCTTAGAGGTTACAATTCACAGGATGTAATAATAATCTCTGAAGTTCAGATATCATTTTTTTATGTAAAACATAAAAATATTTTATCCTTTTTCATGTAAAACATTTTCAAGGATAGTTCAATGATGAAGCTATTATCTGCTTTCTGCAATTGAGAAGGAAGAGAGACTATGTCTCCTTTTTAGCTTGTGAAAAATTATTTAAACTGTGGCTAGAATGTGGCTAGTTTCAAGGCTCAGTATTGGAATTTCAATGGTTAACAGTGTGAGAAAATAATAAACAGCCTTGAGAAGCTCAAACATTACAATATGGAAAGAAAAATGACAGAACAGAATTAGTAACAATGGAATATGGAGACAAAATATTCCACATGTACAGCGTATACTGCACACACCAAGACAAGCTATACATTCTGGGAAAACACAAGAACAAAAACTAAATAGTAAGCAAGAGTTGAATAAAAATTCAATATTTATTACTGGGTCACGTAAGATTAATTTGCAAATCAGCTATGCTAACAATAACAGTAAATTTAGAAAAGAGAAAAAGAATCCCTAGGGAAAAGAACTAAAGGATAGATCTCTGCTCAAAATTGGTCTTCACAGACAAAACTTGTATAATAGACAGTTAACCTTTCTAATCAGGAGTATAATGTCCATTCCTATTTTCAAGAATTATTCTCCCACACATACTATAGACTATTCCTAGATAATTTATTTTATTAATGGATTACTGTGTGCTAGGTTCTGTACTAGGATGTGAAATCTCAAAGGTGAATGAGATAAATAGCCTGTCCTCAGAAGGTTCAGAGACTAAAAGCAGATATATTAATATACCTAATATGTGTGTGAGTGCATAAATAGGTATAGATATAAACATAGATGTAGATATAGATATAGGCATAGACACAGACATAGATATAGATGATATAGATAGCATGCTGAGGAGACAAAACACTTAAAGTAGAGCCTGTCACATTCTAAGTAATTAATACTGCTATTACTAACAACTCTGCATTAAGTATGTGTCTTTAAAAAATGTTTCTGTTTTTTAAAGAGTATAATCATGTATAAAGAAGGCCTCTTTGGGTAGTACATTGGGGGAGGAGGGTTTGTGAGGGGTATAAATGTCTAATAACTATTACATTGTTTTGCACACATGAAACTAATATTTTTTTAAAAAGCCTTTTGTAGCTGGTTTGAGCCATTCCTTCTTTGGGACAGGACTTGGACTAGGTCAGCATTTTCCAAAACGTGTTTCACAGGACACTGAAACAGCAGGGTTGTATTAGGTTGCAACTGAGAGAAAGGGTTTCCTTGTACCAGGTTTTTTCACCGAAGAACTTCTCAAAAACATCTGTTTACCAGTGTGCATTAGGAATCTCCTTAGATGCAGATAAGTACATGGTTTCTCCCAAACATATTTGATCACCAAACCCTTACATAAGGAGCACTTCACAGGACACCAGCAGTGGGAAATGCTTAAGCAGATGTTTTTATAGTTCCCATAGACTATTTTCCCACAAGATAGTCATACTTGCCTATAAAGAAAAGGCAACCAGCTATTTACTATGTTTTAAGAGCATGGGTGCCATCTAGTGTTCATGCATTGTCTAAACACATTGCGTGGGCACCGGGAGATACAGGATTCCGGAACTTCTTTGTAGAGATTTATCTTCCACTTCCCTCTCCCCACCAGAGCTACAGAAGTAAAGTAGTTAAGATGCTGAAAGATAAAGAAATCATCACCTGAGGCTACATCCCATACACATATTGTGAGTGATCTTTTCTGTCTAAATTCTCCTTTACGTATTCTATTTCTCAGGCATTTGTTGTAGAAAGTCTTATCCAATAATTAAATCTTCTTCTAGAGGTATTCATAGAGGAGAATTTAGGGCATTCGGCATGCAATCACATTAACTAGTGCAGCGGTGTCCTCAGGCATTCTTCCTGCAGAGGGAAAGATAGAAATGCTTCTGTTATTTGTTTCAAAGCTTTGTTATGAAAAAAATGTGGAGCAGAGTGCATAGAGGTAATATTCCCACAAAGAGACTCTTTCCTGTCTCACCAAACAATTTTAGTTTGCTCATTCCTCAGGAGCCTGAAAAAGATCACTCCAGCTGACCTCACTAACTCCAAAGCTCACTCCTGATGGACTGGAAGCATTTTACTTACTGTGTTCCAAGATACTTGGTTGGGAATATGTGTTGCCAGAAGTGAAATGGCGTAACAGTTGAGGTGAAGGGTACTTGTGAATTTTTAAATTGAAATTACATTGTGAATTTAAAAAGAGTAAACATGAGGCACAGCTCGCCTGGGTGTTTGATTACTTCTCGGAATACCTAGCTATCTTCATGTTTAGAGCCATGCAGAAGGGAAGGTCTTTATTTGCCAGATCCTTATCGTCAAGTTAGTCAAATGGAATTTCAGCACTGTGCACGCTACTCACCATCCTGGATACTGATAAAGTCACCCTTATATTGTTATCTCAAATGACAAGTCTAAGTCCCTTCTAGTGGTATGCCTGAAATCCCCATACCCCTGCAAAAAAAAAAACAAAAACCAAAAAAAAAAAGTCTCTAATTATTTCTTTGATTCTCCAAAGTGGTCCTCTTAACAGTTTACAAAACTCACTCTCCTAGTGACCATGCCATACAGGCCACATACTTCCTCTTGGGCTCTGGCCCTCAGACCAAGAGGAGCCTTGCTTTCATAGTTTTCAGTGCTTGGCGGTTTCTGCCTAATGGGGCTATTTCTCGGTGTGCCTGAAGCCAGCACTCCCTGAAATATCAGAGAGGCTTGAGACCTGTGCTGAGGTGGGGGCAAGCGCCATCTT